CAAGAGGTATGATGCACAAAAGGTCTCTAAACGAATCCCGATCCGGCAGTTGTGAAGATGATGACTCTGTGCCAAGACCGAGTCCGGCCAACTTGGTTTGAATTAAAGAGTTTGTTCATGAAGGAAAATGTACACTGACTGGGTTTCTTCGGCGGTACCAAACCTGAAAAAAGTGACAGAGAACCAATCAGGTAGCCTTTGTCAGAACGAACCCCCCAAAAATGGCAGACGATGCGGAGTAATAACTGCGAGTGTGTATAGTTTTAGCGTTAATTCTCGACTGGCAAAGGGAACTGTGACTGTGAACAATGGCGCAGTTTCAAAATATAATAAAATCTAAAGTTGCCGAGGGATTTCCAAGGCCCAGAGCATCTGTGCGCGACTAGGATTAAGTGAAGCAAAGCCTCTTCGGGGGCACACAAAAAGAGGCCAATATCTGCGCAGGTGACTGAGAAGAATACCGATGATCTACTTCACTTCTGATGCAAATGATACAAATAACAGTAAAGATGAGATAGCGAAAGAGACAGAACTCCTCCCAGCCAGCGTAAGACATAAAGTGACAGTGCTAAGTCTCAAAGAAGCAAGTACGAGAATCACTTGACAACCCCAGTTGCCTGGATCCGTATGACGAGAAATGCGAAAAGCAACCAGTTATGCAATCCACAAAGGTCGGCCGATCTAGTAACTTGAAGGATTCGTGTGAGCTCACTTCCGTTTCACATAAAAATGTGCAATGAACAGACGGCACCGGTGTAGGATACAATTCTTACGCTTAATACAAGCCTTTTTTCCATATGCCGTAAATCTACTCAAAAACAATGAATTTTTATGAGGTTACTCTCTGCTCTAGTCGCATGAGACTAGCACTGCTGGTTCCGTACTTTTAACTAAACACGAAAGTGCATACGCACACACATTCGCAAATTTGCATGCTTCCAGATGGGCATCATGAAATAGTCAAATCACTCCATACTCTATCACAATTCATAGCTTTAGAGTAGATATGTTGGCTAAATCTCTTGAAAACAAAACTTTTTGGACTGCAAAAGTCATTTCATTATGATGGCATTTCGTTGCACCGAATAAAGAAACCAAAACAACTTCATTGCAATAAACGAAAAAACGAATAATTTTTCTGGAAATTTCCCAATTGCAACTTCACCAAAATGGTGATCCATCATAGCCACCCGTTTTTAGGCATTTCTGGAAAATTCCGGCCAACGTTGCCTTTCGACCCTAATTTTTGTCTCTAATACCACCTAGCAGACATAATCAAGGTGCCATTTTTACAAATATACATATATATATATTCCTGTATGTATAAGTAAATTCTAAAAATGGTATCCTGATGATCTTTGCTGAGTGGTTTGGGAGACCAAAATTCGCCACGCTTTCACAAGAGTGGAAGAGACTGTCTTCGAGACAATATCAAACAGAATGTTCAAGTAAGGCCGGATAAAAGATGATCAAGATAAGCCCGCAAAATTGTAAATATGCTATTTTCTCCATTTTAGATTTATAAACAATCGAAATGACTGTAGCCCTAACTCGGCCTCCAGAAGAAGTTCTGTGCGGCATGATGCTTACTCACCCTGTCCAATTTCCTCAACACCACTCGGTTTCGCGGGAGGTCCTGTTGTCGTCAGGTCTTCTTGCATCGAAGTTGCCGAGGCCGAAGCCGAAGCCGATCGGTTCCACGGTTTCGCCCAGCGCCGGCGTATCACATCTAGAAAAAGGGAGACAAGCGACTGTTCCGTCTCAAGCGGACTCCGAAATGTGTCCTCCACAGGCTGGCCGGCTGCCTCCTGCGTCAGACGGTACGAGTTGCTGGCCCGATAGTCCGATGACTCCGGACTGGAGCCCGGAGTGATGCTGCGATACGCCGTCGTCGCCATGGCCATAGTCACTGGACTGACAAGTTCGGGGAAGCAATGGTAGGTGGCTCGGTCTTCCGGTGCGTACTCGGGCTCCAGTTCGTTAGTTTGGCCCAGTCGACAGGCCTCGGGCAGAGTGGAACCGCGAAAACTGACAACCGGCTCCGAGGCAACCTTCCAAGAGGGCGTCAGGGATGATGAAGAAATGGCCAAGTTGAGAGGACTATTTGAGCTGTCGCCAACCGGTTTGCTGTGTCGAATGCATGATGGTTCGAGGTGAGAACCGGCAGAGTCATTGAAGAGGTTGACAACTATGCAACTGCAATTGCAACCATTAGCACCGGCACGCGTAGGACAGTTTGCAGACAGCATTTTCTCATCGTGCAGCTTCCGTCGTCGTCGACGGTAGTAGGCAATAAAGCGCCAGAGCAGCAGAATGATAATCACTGAAAGTTGGAGGACAGCATGTCGAAGGAAATGGAGCCTTAACAGGTGGATCAGTGAGTATGAGGCGAACAAGTAAGTGGGCCAATAGTACAAGTTTCAGATTAAAGCCCTCTCTGAGCGTGATTTCACACGACTGGGGTCATGAGTATGAATCTCCCTAAAGTGATTAGTTATTCCTCTTCAACTTCCTTCGTTTGTTCGTTTCAGCCTCAAAAGTTCAAGTCCAGTCTACATGCAAGCCAGCCCCACCATGAAGATGGCGGGACCTCGCAACACGCAATTGGCTGATTGAACACCCTGAAACCCCCTTGAAGTGACCAATCAGATGAAGCGTGAAACATCAGCGATTTTAGAAAGCACAAAACCAAAAGGTCCAACGAGGCCAAATTGAGGCAAGCAGACGGAAAGATATGAAGGAAAGATGAGTTCCGGAGAATAAGTTAGTGGGATTCAAATTTTCACTCCGAAAGATAAGTTGCATGGAAGGAATTCGTGAATTGGCCCCATCGGGAACCGAAACGAGATTGCCGTGAGTCAATACTGTTGGTTTTACACAATCCAATAGTCTCCACTCCACGGCTTCGCGTTGGACAAATTCACGAACTTCTTCCAAACCACATTTTTTCCGAAACGATAAGCCATGTAGCAATACATCTCTTAGGGATTCGTTAAAACCCAGTTTTTCTTCGAAATTGCAGACATTTTCAGAGGAACTGGTGTGCTTGCCTGCAAGTGTCCATTTGTTGAATTAACCAAAAGTTGATTAAAATTAAACTGAAGCATACATCATTTGACTTTCTCGTCGAAAGGAGGGTCAGTTGAAAATGAATGATAACTTGGCCTCATTGAAAATTTAAGGAGGATTCACAAGCAGTTGAGACTTCTAAGAAGTCCTCTCAACCCAGAGCTATGCAACACCGATTCGTTTGTGTGGACATTTCGTCTGTTCCACTTCAGCGAGATTTGTCAAATGTATGAAGTTCCTCACTTCCGTATTCCCCAAAGCGTGCACTTGTTCTTGTGACTACCTCAACTGGTTATCATCTCTTTCTGACCCCCTCTTTTTCTTAATCTTCATAATCCTACCAAAAAGCCGCGAGTAAATCTGATTCAATTTTCTACAATTCTTTCTTCTATTCAGAATGTCTATTGTCATGCGCATTCGGTCTCAGAATATTGCTCAGCTTAACTTATGAAATTTGCCTACCCTGCGAAACAGGACACCATTTTACCAGGTCTTCTGTATCAGACAGGTGTTCAGAAAATGCATAATCTCGGATACACACAGTGACAGGCCGTTTTATGTACTCATAAAACCTTTCTCACATGACCTGCGGATCTACTTCACATGGGTGCAACCAAAAAAACACGCAACCCTATAATACACTTAATTGGAAAGAGAACCGGAAGTTTCTTGCAAAAAACTTGTTATTTCCAACCTTATGCAGAGTTCTTATGTGCCATTTAAGGAGTAGTAACTCCACTCTTTCTGAAAGATGACTCGACGATGATATCAGAAGTCTAGAGGAGGAGGCTATCTATCAGTTATGATGAAGATGACCGTTTACACGCATTCTAATTATTAATAGGAAAACGTTTGCGTAAAAAATACTACTGAATAACTGGTTTGAGTTAAAATGCTCTCCAACGGTGGTTTATAACTGCTAGACGCAGACTTGTTAACAGCAATGAATTACTAAGCCATACTGTGACTGCAAACATGTGAATATCAAAGAATTTAAGAAAGAAATCTGAATGTGGAGGTGTTATAAACACATAAATGCTCGACTTAATTCGTCAATGCACCCAGGAATAAGGGATTATCATGTACTTATTAGTCAATAGCAAATTTAGCAATCCATTCTGGCTTTAAACATTCTTATCATCTGTTTCGCAGTGTTGCCGAACAGCAAAATTGTCGTCCATTTTTCAAATTAAGAACTTTGAAAGTTGGACAGCTATGCGAATTAAACAAAGACAAAATGAAGACAACAATGCCTAGGCAGGATAATCACATTTTTTAAAGCTTTCTGTCTCACTTAAGCCTATTTTTAGATTTTTTTTATTATTACTAAGTCACACTAAACCGAGCCAGCTCTTGTGGGCGTCTCCCTTCTGTCTCCTAGCAATGCCTACTTCTAAAATATAAATTAGACAGCATAGATCAATTAAGGTGATTTATGCACCAATAGTTTGGTTTTTCCTACAACTTTCCTCAACTTGTCTGGCTACTTATTTTCGATATAAGCGGACTTCAAGACAACCAGCTCTTCAGAAAAGAGGACTTTGTTCGCCTGAGTCGCTTAAGGTGATTTTAATACGGATACTTGAGCTCTTTTCCACACTAAACTTGGAATATAGCCTAAAATAATAGAGAAATTGTCTATTCCTATTGGTACTGCCCTACATTCCATTTCGTCTGATAGGGCGGGTAGAAGGGATTCGTAGATTGGCGGCACCGGATACAGAAAGAAGATTGACTTAAACCTGTGACTGCTGAATGGTGCGAAGAAGACCCCAGCTCACCGTTCTGCGACCGCGATGACTCCGTGCTGGGCCTTCATCCGTCATGTGACGGATAGCGTCAGAATGAGAAACCAATATTCACGGACATTCACCAAAGCAACACTCCACCAAGAAAGGTGGCCGGTTGAAATTTTACTCACCTCTTATACTTCACTTTGCGCTCTTAATGAAGCATTCCATGATTCGGTTAGCTACTTTATGCTTGTTCTAATTGCAAGTAGACCGGTGAAGTTGATGCAGAAAGGGAAGCGTATGTGGTGGCAACTTTCTTTCATGTAAATAAACTAGCGTATGATCCTGTAATCCTGACGCTCGTTTTAGCCACATGGATGCATTATGTGCATTATGTGCATGCAACATTCACTAGGCAGTTGGCAATTTCGGATCCTAAACCACCTATCTTGGTTGAGTGTTGTTTTAGTGATTGTTCGTAAACAATGCTTTCTGGCTCTGATGATGTCCGTCACATGACGGACGAAAGCTCAGAACGGAGTCATCGGGTCGCAGGCCTTCTTCGCACAATTCAATAGTCACAGGTCCAAGTCAACCCTCCTCCGATACCGGATGAGGCCAATCTGTGACTCCCTCCCATCCGCCATCTCGAACAAAATGAAAGCTATGCCACTATCAAGCCATCAAGGGATCCTTCAAAATCCAGCTTCTCTTCATATCTATTCCTATTATTTGAGTCATTTTCTTGGTACAAGCCTCTCTTTTTTGGGGTTTATGCTAAAATTCAAGTTCCTGAGAGAAATTGTCGCTTAACTCACAGTTTAGACAAACCTGGCGGAACTCCGAATTTTAACAGGAACCTCAAACAAGAGATGCTCGGAGCGAGCAAGGTATCACCAGGAAGAGGAGTTTGAGGGACGAATGGAGGCCAAAAAAAAGAGATTGCAATGAGAGGAGCCAAGGCCAGGGCCAGTTTCACGAAAGCTGACGGTATGGGTCAACCTGGGAATATGAAAATTAAGTTCAGAATTGAGGTCTACTTCAAATCCATTTGGTAATTGCAGCAGAGGTTGGCGCAACAATATCAGCATATTCCTGGTACGTGTTTTAAGCGTGTGTTTGTGTATGTGCGTCCATAATATGCCTGAGGAAGGTGTTTAGTGAAGTAAGCAGAGCCTCGGGGTCGGGCAGGACTGAAAAGCGAGAAAACAAGGAGAGTGCTTTGTTTGACTCAGAAGTAGACAAATGAAGCGGTATAGTTTTAAGCAACCCAGACGTAAAACCCTCGAGAATGAAATAGAATGAGCTGGAGATGGAGAGGGAGATAGCTGAAGCATAGTTACTGCCAGTGAGAGAATCCTGGCTAGAGAGCGGTCCTCACACATGTTCTAGCATATGCTAAGGGGCCAGTCTCGCGAATAACTTTTCGACTATGACGTAAACGGGTGCCGGAATTGAGGATTTATAGATAAACAGCCAATTGGACAAGAAAGTTCTACAGGGACAGTTGATGAGTTGGAAGGAATAGATGTCCAAGTGTTAGTGCTGAGTGGGCTCTCGGAAATTTTGAGATAGAGACCCATAGCACCAGTAGGATTACAGCGAAAGTGTGAATCAAGGCGCTCAACTGGAATGGGGAATCCTCCTCTTACGAGGTTGGAATCAGTCGACTCTGGTGAATGGGATAAGACGTCGAAGTGAGCAAGTCCTGAACTGCAAATGAAATTATACCACCGACAAATCACAACAACTACTCACTACTACTCTTAATAATATAAAAGTTGATAGATTCAAAGAAACCACTTTCAGAAGAGAGTCAGGCAACTGGTAAGGGAAATGAATATAAAGCTACACAGGCAGGTCATAATGCAACGGCACGGTGCTGGAATCTTATAAGTAGGTGCGCTAAGGGTTGTATGTAACCCTATCTACCAATCCACGAAAACATCAGAACACACTTATCGACAGGTGAAGTCGACTACCTGCTGTCTCTAGGGTCCCCATACTCAAGACGTCGGTAATACCCAATCCACAGGTCAATCCCTCACAACATTTTGATCCAGTGATTGCTCTTGGCATATGGACCAGTTAGCAAACGTTGGGTAACCAACTTCGAACAGCATCCACGCAAAAAGAAGTGTAATAATTAATTAATATCTCAAATCATCTTGATGCGAAACGTTCCTATGCACGAAAAAGGGTTTTAACCAAATAATGCACATGTTGGATAGTTATGAGGCGTTGGTAAAGTGGACCTCGAGCCTCAAACGAGATTACAAGCAAACTGAAGTTGCGGAGTGTGTGGCTAGGTATGAGTGTGCGCGAGTGGGAATATATATACATATATACATGTATGTGTTAATTTATTTATGCATATACATATATGTTAAAGTGTATGTAAGTATGTGTGTGTGTATGAGTGTGTAAGTGTAAATGTGGGTGTGAATGTGTCACAGATGATTTGAAGCAAGTTCGGATATAAAAGGGTGAAATTGCTTTATATGATGCTCGCGTTTTAGCTTATAAATGCTCAAATCTACATATTATTCATTTTCTACTCCGTAAATACCTGATCTCATAGAACAGGTGTTTGATTTTTTATTTAATGAGCAGATATTGTTGCTACTCTTGCCTGACGAATACAAAGTTTAAGTCATAGAGAAAACCCGGTAACTTTAAAAGCCAGGTAGAATCTCGTGTGCTCAAACAGGGCAACACAAGAGAACAGTGAAAAATCTTATCACGCACATCTATGAGTAGAAATTAGTGGTTTAATCGGAGAGAGAAGGAGCGGTAAACAGGTGTGTTCTCACTTACGAAGGGACGATATAATCTCTACCGGAGTAACGGAGACACTGTAAACGATAAAGATGTGTTTACCGCATGGTTATATCCCCGCTGGTTGTGATATTAACAGCCACTCTTTGAGAGAAAAGTGATGCGGCTGTATGGCACGAAGAATGTGCTTTTCTCAAAACCTGGCCTCAAAACTCCGTAGTGGAGTTATGAGGTGTTGAGGGAGTTGAAATAGGCAATCCAACACCCACTCCACGAAAAATGGTGTCAAATTACACTCGACAATCTTACATTCCTACCTTATATAAAGTTGGGTTTGAAGAAATCCCTTGTTCTATAAATTTTGAGCTTACTTCCATTTCGAGTGAACGTGATTGGTGAAGGGATTCGAAGGTCGATCCCACCAGATGGCGGCGGATTCCTCTTGACCATCTGTCGATTGGCTCCAGCGGGACAATCTTGTTGACGCTGTTTCCGAGACAATCTTCTTCGATTCCGATGAAAATGTGCTAAGCTTTTGTCCATTGTCTTCTGGTGGGATCAATCATCGAATCTCTTCATCAGACACTTGTACCGGGAATGAAAATGAGCTCAACAATTTCTACTTCAAATATGGTGGGATAATTAGTCATTAGTGGGCAAGATAGAGAAAGCATTCCATTCTGGATGTGATAATCCTTTGGTAGGCGAGAACAAGTGAGCTTATGAGAATACTCAACTTTTAGACCTGGCTGCAGACTAAGTTATTATTCAAGAATTAATGATGATCTCGAAAGCTACTCACGCCGAAATTGAGTGGTAAAAAGTCGATAAGAGGATAGAATAGGCCAGAAAGAATATGAATTGTGCAGAGGGAGAAGATGGGTGCTGTAGGTCACCCTGACGCATTTGAAGAAAAAGCATGTTTCGACGCATCTCTCAATACAACTTCATTGTGGAGGCTTTCATTTTGTATGAAAGTGGATGTGATGAAGAGATTCGTGGGTCAATTCCACCAGAACATGACAACTGAGTTCCGAGCCTATGCGACCGTTTGGCTTTAATACAACTTTCAGATTGATGCAGTTCATGACCTGCCATCTCATTGATGATTCTACCTAAATTCACACTCGTTCAGATCAGGTAAGCTCATCAACCGGAACAAACTTACGAGATTACGCACTTCCAGTCATGCTCTTCTTTAAGTCATTAAGCTTTGATGATCCAGGGCTGACATTATACTTTTGTGTAATACTGGTTTATGGCCAGTATTGGGTACAGACGTTGGCACACACACAAACAGATACAGTTGAGTATAAGAGAATTAAACAAGCTAATCTATACCAATCAAATAAAAATATTTATTCGAAGGTATGAAGACCAAGATGGTGTGGCCTTTTGTGTGGTCGCAGTCTCCTTTCGTTGTATGGAGGTTGTTTGACCTTGTTTTCGCAACATGGTCACATTGGTAGGAAGACTTAGAGGCGTGGGAATGTACCACGTCCACGGTTTAACTTTGGAAATGATGATGCATACAATGGACTCCGAAAAAGGTGCGTTCCTCTAAGTCTTCCTACCAATATGACCATGTTGTGAAAACAAAGTCAAACATATTTTTTTCTTCAGGATCATATATGGCATGTAGAAAAGAGTCGGTTAATTTTCTTGATTTCGTATTAACTTGTGACCTTTGCAAGAATGAATTCCAGCTCTGATGATATCTGTCATCGGATGAACGGAAGATCATTTCGTAGTTATCAGAAACGAGGGAGGGCGTCTTGTGGACTGCGGGAATCAGCTGTCGTCTTATGGTGAGATCGACCTAAGAATATCGTCATCATGCACTTTCATACAAAATCAAAATCCCCTGCCTTTGTTTCAGTCTTTTAACGGAAATCGTGGATAAACACACGTCATTAAGGCTATACATGGTGCGTAAGCAATGAATGGACACACATCTCTTTCCGGCT